AGCTACCACAATTTTTCACTGACTTTATAACTAAAAGAACTCTGGTCTCTAGGAACTTGAGCATTTAAATCGAAGCAGATTTCAGTCTTCCAAAACCAGTTAAACCAAGCACTTCCCCGTACAACCACCCAGCTTCCCCTACCTTACCTGTCCCACTGCCTCCCCTCCCACTGAGTCTCCCGCAAAAGGGAAAAATTCTCACTCTCTCAGAAAATTAGGGAAATCGGTTTTTTTTGTTTTTTGTTTTTTTTTTTTTAAAGATGACCGGTAAGAGGATCTCAACCCTTGGCTTGGTGTTGTCAGCACCACGCTCAGCCAGTGAGCAAACCGGCCATCCCTATATAGGATCCGAACCCGTGGCCTTGGTGTTATCAGCACCGCACTCTACCGAGTGAGCCACGGGCCGGCCTGAGAAATCGTTTGATTCAAGGTAACAAGATACATTTAAGTTCAAATGATATTGTCCTTGGTTTGTTTCATTTCAAAGACTTTCTACTGGAAAAAGACACCTTTAAAAAGTACTGGCTTGGCATTCACCACTAATATGAAAGACAAAGTAAATCTGCTTAATGGGCCAGCCCGTGGCTCACTCGGGAGAGTGCGGTGCTGGTAACACCAAGGCCCCGGGTTCAGATCCCATATAGGGATGGCCGGTTGGCTCACTGGCTGAGCGTGGTGCTGACAACACCAAGCCAAGGGTTGAGATCCTCTTACCGGTCATCTTTAAAAAAAAAAAGGCCAGCCCGTGGCTCACTCGGGAGAGTGCGGTGCTGGTAACACCAAGGCCCCGGGTTCAGATCCCATATAGGGATGGCCGGTTGGCTCACTGGCTGAGCGTGGTGCTGACAACACCAAGTCAAGGGTTAAGATCCCCTTACCGGTCATCTTTTAAACAAACAAAAAAAAAAATCTGCTTAATGATTTAACTGTCCCCGAACCACAAATGCCACTCTAAAAAAACAAAATTGTCAATACTCATTCTGTTCCTTTAATTTCCACAAGTAGTAAGAGCAGAGGCTCTAGGTCTCTAGCATAACAGTGGTGTCTCAGAATCAAGGCACTATGTCACTATTGTTTAGTGATATGTGACCCAAGAATCAACTGAGGAAAAGAGACTGATCTGCTAAAAAGCTCAAGGTCTAATTTGATAAACACATTGGTCCTACAGTGACTAAGATTCAAAAGAATAGTTATGAGAAAGATACAGAAGTGGTACACTAATATTAAGTTGTTTTCCTCCAAACCACTCTTAATTATACCAAGCCAACCAGAAGAAGTAAACTATTCTTCCTTATGTCAGCTACACAAGTGCTCTGACTATCCTAAAAACCTCCAATGATTCAAAACTTCTACTCCAAATATAAAGGTAGTAGACGAGATATATTTTTTAAGCAGCTGGATCCAGAACCAGTAAGGACATTTAAAATGATTCCTGTAGGGACGGCAGGTTAGCTCACCAGGTTAGATCATGGTGCTGATAACACCAAAGTGAAAGGTTCAGATCCGCATACAGGCCAGCCATCCAAAAACAAAAAACAAAGGAAAAGTACAAAATAATTCTTTTAGACTTATATTTGTATCATATACAAAGAGTTGCCCATGACAATGCTTTCAACAAATTAAAAGTTGTCCTCTCTATTCCCAGAGAGAAATACTACATCCCAGTTAAGGTGTAGGGGAAAGGGAGTACCTTTAAAAAATAAACACACTGATAGATTCCTCCACTTTAACAAAGTTCTAGTCATTTATCTTCAGAAGTAACTTCAAAATTAAACATACCACACTGAAGTCTCAACTATGGATATTAGGAAATTAGGACAGCTGCAACCCAGAAATTTTATAACACAAATATTTACTTTAGCAGTAACAATATAATCATATATAACACAATTATTCTGTGTCCTCTAATAGTTAAGAGGCAGGAATAAGAACATCTAAAAAAACATTTTAAATATGGAGAATTTCAAAGTTCCGTTTTTTTGTTTGGCTTTTTTTTATTCATACACGTGGGGTACAATGTTGATTTTCAATAATTATGTACAATGTGTGGTGGTTAGATCAGTATGGTTAGCTTATTCATCAAAGTTCCTTAGAACATCCTTAAATCTAAATATTGCTATGACATCTTTTCATCTCCAACTCAAACGTGAAGCTGCAATGGAAATTATATTTTTATGCCTTTGAAGCCTTTGAACTAACTACCAATAGTGCAATTCTACTCTATCTTATCATCATACTTGGTAAACTGTTCCAATGAGAACAGCACTTAATAAGTTAAGTCCTCTTACCTTACAAAATAAAGTTAACTTCAAAGTTACCAGAAGAAGTCATTCTAAAATCCAAATGGAAAATAACATGCAAACATGTATTCCACTAAATGGAAGTGAATCGGGTTTGGGAAACAGTATTTCGGCATTCTGAAATGCATTCTGAAATTTATATTTTCCCTTTCCTCCTTTCTATATGCTTTCTGTGTTCATGTATCAAATATTTAAAAACAAACGTTCAATCAAAAACTTCATTTGATGGCTGTTGCTTTTTCAAACTGGAAGAAAAACGGCTTTCAACAGCTTGCATTAAACATAAATACCTATATGGCCATGCCACACTTGCTACAGCAACCTATCTCTGTAATTTGCACTGTATTTTACGGTATCCCATGACAGAACATCCAAAAAATTAAAATAGCATGATATACAGCTTCTTTTCAAGCATGTTTACAAGAATTATCTCATAGAAACTATCCACTTTAATGTAACTCTAAAACCCCATGCCCAGAAGCCAATGACTGGTTTATAAGCAAGATAATGACTGGTTCAATGGAAAAAGTATTATGACAATAAACTAAGACTGGCTCACCATGTTAGGATCTGCTTGCCTAATATGTATGTTTAGCTACTGTAGTCAGCAACGTCCAAATATAAATTTGACACATTTAATAGCCAGTTCTGTTCTAGATTTCAAGCTCATCTTACCTTTTTAAAACATAGTTTTAATCTAAGGTTCTCTGGGAATATTTTTTTTCTTAGAAAATATATCCCCGAAAGTAGGGGGGAAAAACTTCAAGAACAAATTCTCCCCTAAGTACAAAAACCAAAGACATGTCCAAAAATCGCAAATATTTCAGCACATCTCTATCTTAACACGAATTAAAAATAAGTAAATTTCAAATATGAAAGAAAAATAAACCTCAAACAGGTTAAGCATATTTCATAAATAAGAGCTCCCTGTACTTTATGAATGTAGTCACAAATATGCCAAGAAAGACCTTGTTGATTTAAAAGTACAGAACTTTATTTTGTTGGTTAAATTTCAATTACTGGTAAGTGGCATGAAGGCATAAGATAATCAATAAAAGTATAAAGACTATTTTTTAAAAAGGCCGGTCATATTTTGTTTACTTAAAATACTAAGCTTAATCATGACCTATCTAAACCTTATCATTGCTCATTGTATAAAATTAGCACTGCACTTGCAAACATAAGCAGAATCTAGACTTATCAAACATATGGTGAGACGTGCCTAGCTTCTGAAAAATGAAATGAGAATGTAGGATTAAAATGTTTTAGTTGTCAAACAAACAAAAACCCACCAATCCTGCTCAAAAGCTTTCATCAAAATTTTGATAAGGAATCCTCTTTAAAAAATTTAAAGCGCCCAAGCAATTAAAACTTTGAAATTAACTGAAATGGTTTAAATATAAGCACTCCCACTGCAGAAGCTACAGTTTACATTTACAAGCAAATACCTAAAACAGGAAAAGGAGGAAGAAAAAAAAAAAAAACCCAGCCGATCTCCAAACTACTAGAAGGTGAGCATAAGCATAAGCACAAGCACAGATTGGTTTACCAGCTAACTTTTCCAGCCCTGTACCAGAAAGACCTTAAAACAAAGTTGACAACAGAACCAACCATGAGCTTTCCCTGTAAACAGGATGATACTCTGAAAAACTTTACTGTTGCTAATAGAAGTTCCTTATAAGCAGAAGCAGCGAACTGACAGGTGGAAAAATAAATGGGCAGCAAGAGGTTGTGGGAACACGGTTCAAGAACTGAACGTGTTGTGACTACTCTGTAACAGGTCCAAGGTAATTTACGCACACACCCTTTAGAGCAATTCCTCAAGCAGGGATATGACTGGGAAACAACAGACTTCCCCAACAGCACGTACCATTTTAAAACAGCCGTCTCCCTCCCGACAGGAAAAGAGACATTCTCATCCGAAGTCTTTCTGCCACTTCTCCCAGTGCGGCGAAGGGAAGCGGGCGGTCGCGGCCGTAACGAGAGAAGCCGGCAACAGCCCCGCCGCGCGGCCGCCACGCCTTCCTCCGGCCGCCGCTGGGGACGCGGAGCCGCGGATCACATTTCTCCTCCCCAACAATCACACGCACGCACGTCCCCAGAGTTGACACCCTCCAAGCCGGTCGCTCTGCGACGCTGGTGACGGGGCCACATAGCCTGGTACGCAGCTATCGGCTGGGGCGCTCAAGTGGCCTGCGTGCGTGCGCGTGTTTATGTTTGTTCCCCTTAATGAAAGGGAAGAGGTCTCCGTAGTTACGGCCTAGGGCTGCGGAGGGAAGAGAGGCCCCTGTGGGACTAAACAAAACTTCGGTTGCTGGGAAGAGCCGTTGCGCAACCTTGGCGGGGAGGCCGTGACCGCCCCGCCGGGCCAAGCGCGGCTTCCCGGAGGCTGCGCCACCGCGCGCAGGAACCACACCACGCGCGGCCCCCGCGTCCGGCAGCCTCGGGCCTGGCGTGGCGCCGGCCTCGAACGAGCCGCCAAGACGGGGCCACACGGCTGGGGCTGGGACGGAAAGGGGGAGACGAGAGCGCTGGGGATGCGGATGGGGCGCAGGACGCGCGACGAGTGCGGGCCGCGCCGGGGGTGACGGCCCGCTGGGGTCAGACTGAGAAGTCCGCTGACCACCCTGCCGCAGCCCCCACGAATGGAGCCGATCCCACCACCCCGGGGTGGGGACGCCCCTCGCCCGACTCCCTTACCTTCCTAGAGGCCCGCGCTCTCCCCTCTTCGGGCGGCCGCAGCCCTGAGCATGTCCGGGGTGGGGTGCGGGGCCGTGCCGGGAACAGGGAGCCAAGCGCTTCAGCAGGCGGCACCACCCAGCCCGAGCTCAGCCCCTCTCCGCGGCCGCTGCCATCTTGTCCTGGCGGCTGAGAGGAAACGGCGAAACACCCTCCCCCGACCGCTGCTGCTACTGCTGCTCTGGCTGTTGAGCGCCGGGCCCGTCTCCCTCATCTTCCTTCCCGGGGATTTAGGGTGGGGACAGTTTGGCTGGAACGAGGGGGAGTGAGAGGCCGGCCGGCCTCCGGCTTCTGGGGCCTACGGGCGGCGCAGGATGCGGGGCCTGCGGCGGTTGGGGCCCATTCTTGACGCCCCTGCCGGGAGAGGAGAAGAAAGACAGCGGGGAGAGGCGGCGACGGCGGGGCCCGCGGCTCGGTCTCCTCAGGTCGCCGCGCTGCCGGCAGTCGTCACGGGGACGGCTGCCGCCGGCCGCCC